TTTTGCGGAAAAGCGTCCGTGCCAATCTAGATGCTCTTTTCCGAAAATGCTTTTAATGGAAAACTTTTCCATTAAAAGCATTGCTGGAAAATCATGCCAGTGTAGATGTAGCCAGAGAGTTTGAACAGCCAGACACTAGCATGGTCAGGAGAGCACAGCAAGGGGCACTGCGAATCAGAAACGCCTTGAAGGACAATTTTATGCAAGGACTCTTTTGCAGTTTTATGCAAGGACTCTGCCACGTGGTTCTCCACAAGTTGCTCCTGCATTCCCTGTGTTTCCCTTTAATGCCCCACCCACCTCTGCAGTTCGAGCAATAAAGAGACCATTGTTCAGTGAACATGAGTTTTTATTAGGGGAAAACAACAGGGAAGTGGAAGAACTGGGAATGGGAAGGGGACTCAAGAACAGGAGTGGGACTGCCTTCTGCCTTCTGTGGGCCTGGAGTGACCGGCTTCCCTTGGGTTTTCTCCCCCGCCCTTTTCCTGGGAGCCCTACAGGTGGAAATCATGGAGCTGGTGGAGGAGGGACCAGGGGATATTATCAGGGTAGGTAGGGTTCTGGGAGGTGGCTGTCCTGAGGCAGGATGCCATGAGCTCCATAAGAGCAGTCAGGGAGGCAAACATGGTCTCATGCTGTCTTGCAGGGTATGTCTAAACTACATGGCTCCGTTGACGGAGCCATGTAGATTTATTGTTTTGGCAAAGTCAAATGAAGCCGCGATTTAAATGATCGCGGCTTCATTTAAATTTACATGGCTGCCGCGCTGAGCCAACAAACAGCTGATCAGCTGTTTGTCCACTCAGCGTGCTAGTCTGGACACTCCCCTGCCGACATCAAAGTCCTTTGTCGGCAGCCCCGGTAAACCTCATTCCACGAGGAATAACGGGGCTGCCGACAAAGGGCTTTGATGTCGACAGGGGGAACATCCAGACCTATCACTATTCTACAAGCTTATAGTAGGTTTCTGAACTTATAAAAACAAAGTGGCTGAGAGCTGCAAAGCTCAGTAATCTTACAACAAGGTGCAGAATGTAAAAGGCAAGGTAGCTGAAAGTTACAAAGAGACAAGTGCAATGCTTCAAAGCTCAGTAATTACAAAGATACCTTCCAGAGCATAGGCATCTGATTGAGAACAATTTCCAGCTTAATCATCAGTAAAAAAGTGACTTAGAAGACAACTATCCCCCTTAAGTCATGTACACAGCAATGCAGTCAGCAGCAGGTTTTTGTCAGTCTCCATATCATGTGTTGGCAGGACCTTACAGTTTAATGCACTTCCTGAAAATGTATGTGTAAATCAAGTAATAGCTTGGGCGGAGGCTTTATGCAACACCACACACACATCCCCACCCTCTCCCTATGGCAGAGAAGGAACCAGTGTCCCAGGAGGCCACATGTAACAAACTTGGCACGTGCCAGCAGCGAGCCAACCTGCCCCCCACTCCAGTCCTGCCTGGAATCTCCATCCCTGGCTGGGAAAGTAGCACTGTCCAGGAAGCTGTTTTCTGGATACAGAAGCAAGCTGCCCTTTGCTGTCACCCTTCCCCCACCCCTATCTACAGGCTCAGGCTCTGGCCCTGGCCCTGGCTGGCCCCTTACCATGACTGGCTGCCTCCAGATCAAGTGTGTTCCGATTCTCCCCTGAGAAGTCTGTGCATCTGCTGTAAAGTGCCCTCTTTAAAGCAAACGTTTGGCCTTGCATGGAACACATCTCCTTTGTCTTTGCAAAGACCTTCGGTGTAGGTTAACAGATTAGGGGTAGGCTTAACACAACGTATCTGCTGTAGGGGGAAGATGCGGGTCATCTTGCTGCTATGTCTAGCACACGCCGGGTTTATTGCTGCTGTGTCCAGCACACGCCGGGTTTATTGCTGCTGTGTCCAGCACATGCTGGGTCTGTTACACTCAGCCTCCCAAGGACACTGGTTCCTTTCCTGCTCAGGGGGCGGGGGAAGATGTATGTCAGCACTCTCCCCAGGAAGCCGCATGTGCTGAATAGGTTCCCCATGCAAGATATCAGTGTTCTTCGAATCACACCAAGTGATTAGGAGCATGTGCTGACTGAATGTGGCCATAAACCCAGGCCTTATGCTGTACTGCTTTGTGGTTCAATAGCTCCAGATCACTTCCTGGTGGGTGGGTGGGTGTGGGAAGGTGTCCTACTACAGAGAACAGAATAAGGCTGGCCCCGCCAAAAATCTTTTGAGGATTAAAGAGTTCCTATGTGAGATCTTCATGGAGCTGTTCAGACATGACTCCTGCTCCATCTGCAGACACATGAAGAAGCTATTCCAGGCCTCACATGCTGTGCAGGCACAGAATATGCTGCACCTCACACCCCACTGCGTTAACCTGCTTATAGTTAGACAAAGTTTGTGAAAACACCAGAAGAGCCCTTCTGGGGGTTGGTGCTGGCCTGGGAGACATACTGGATTGGGGAGGGGGTCAAGGCGGGGGCAGGGAGACTGACTCCAGTGACTTGACCAGCTCCTGGCTCTTGGGGATCAGCAGCCAGCTATTCTCCTTCTCTTCTACCACCACATTGTCCTCCAGGCTGATGCCAGGCATCTCTTGGCTGGACTTCATGACCACGTTGGGGATTCAGGTCAGGCCACCCCCCCAAAATGGTGTTTAGCTGGTCTTAGATGCAGCATATGTGAAGTGCTGCTTTCTCCTCCTGTGTCTTGTGGTAGGACTGGCGCAGCTCCTTGATCTTGACTACACTGTTGCGCATCGCTGGAATATCCTTTAGCTTCCATATAGCTTGTGATCTTGGTGTTCCTCCTTGCTGGTTCAGATCTCATTGAGGATGGCTTCATTTCCCCACACCTTGATGAGGTCCAAGATCTCCTGAACACTTCATGCAGGCACTCTTCTGTGCTTCTGGGAATTGGAGCCTGTGGGAGCAGAAATCCTTGAAGTTGTTGCACTTTTGTTGGGATTACTCAATGCCATATCCATGTATGCCATGGTGTGCTGCTCATTCACAATGGACTCACAAAGCTGGCCTCACAGAACAAGCCCTTGTATTGTTCCCAGAGTATTTTGAGCTCAGCAGGAGAGCAGTAGAGGTACAAGTTCTGGCCAGAGCGGGAAGCTGCAGGAGGACTCTCTGAGGCCTGTAGTGTGAACTTTCTGGCAACATTGCATTTACACTAGTGTAAATTCAGCCATACAAGGCTGGGAATAGTGTTACTCCTTGTGAAAAGCAGGAGTACAGAAATTGACTTTTACGGCCCTTAAGGTCAATGCAACAAGTTTGGTAGTGTGGATGCATCATTTAGAAAATTGACCTTATGAGGCTAAACTCCTTGATCTAAACTCCTAGGGTGTGTCTAGACTACATGGCTACGTCGATGGAGCCATATAGATTAGGTAGGATGACAAAGGGAAATGAAGCGGCGATTTAAATAATCGCCGCTTCATTTAAATCAAAATGGCCACTACGCTGTGCTGATCAGCTGATTGTCAGCACAGCGTGGCAGTCTAGACGGGGATCTGCCGACCCCAGAACCCTTTGTCATCAGATCCTTTATGCCTTGTGAAATGAGGCTTACTGGATCTGCCAACAAAGGGTTCTGGGGTCAGCAGCTCCCCGTCTAGACTGCTGCGTTGTGCCAACAATCAGCTGATCAGCACAGCGCGGCGGTCATTTTGATTTAAATGAAGCAGCGATTATTTAAATTGCAGCTTCATTTCCCTTTTTCGCATAAACTAATCTACATTGCTTCGTCGACAGAGCCATGTAGTTTAGACGTACCCCTAGTGTAAACCAAGCCTAAGTGCCTTGCCAGTGTGGACACCTTGGGATTTACAGCACTGGGAGCTGATTTATTGCAAAGGTGTGCACTATAATTTGCCAATGTAGACTTGCCTTAGACTAGGACTTTTTAGCTTGGAAAAGAGATGACTAAGTGGGGATATGATAGAGCTCTATAAAATCGTGACTAGGGAGGAAAAAATGAATAAAAACGGTTACTTACCTTCGTAACTGTTGTGCGTTGAGATGTGTTGCTCATGTTCATTCCACTTGGGTGTGCTCATGTCGGGTGCATGGAGTTTTCCCTTAGCGGTACCTGGTGGGCCAATAGGGGAGCTGCCTGGAGTGGCACCGCTATATCAGTGCATATATAGCCTTCTTGCCAAAATCCTCCAATGCGGGGGAGGTGGGCAGGAAGTGGAATGGACATGAGCAACACATCTTGTCAACAGTTACAAAGGTAAGTAACCATTTTTTCTTCTTTGAGTGGTTGCTTATATCCCTTCCACTTAGGTGACTCCAAAGCCAAATCTCAGGAGGCAGGGTTGGAGCCTTACAGAGAGACGGACTGCAATACAGCCCTACCTACAGCGGTGTCCTCCCTGGCTTGCTGCACTATGGTATAGTGGTTCACAAAGGTGTGCTCTGATGACCAGGTAGCCGCCCTACAGATCTCTACGATGGGCACCTGAGCAACAAAGGCGGTGGATGATGCCTGGGCACTGGTCAAGTGGGCCATGATAGACGGAGCCGGAACCTGCGCCAGCTCATAGGACGCCTTAATACAGGAGAAGCAAAATGCAGGACAATGTAGCACTTTAAAGACTAACAAGATGGTTTATTAGATGATGAGCTTTCGTGGGCCAGACCCACTTCCTTTGATCTGAGGAAGTGGGTCTGGCCCACGAAAGCTCATCATCTAATAAACCATCTTGTTAGTCTTTAAAGTGCTACATTGTCCTGCATTTTGCTTCAACTACCCCAGACTAACACGGCTACATTTCTATCACTTTAATACAGGAGGTGATCCAGGATGAAATACTCTGGGCTGACACAGGTAGACCCTTCATCCTTTCTGCTATGGACACAAACAGTTGGAGGGACTTGTGGAGAGGTTTGGTTGTCTCTAAATAAAAAGCTAAAGCACATCTCACATCTAGAGTGGGTAGAGCCTGTTCTGTCCTAGAGCCATGGGGCTTTTGGTAAAAAACAGGAAGGAAAATGTCCTGGTTAATGTGAAAGTGTGAAACCACCTTGGGCAGGAAGACAGGGTAGGGGCTCAGCCTGACCTTATCCTTAAAAAAAACATATATGGAGAGTCCCCTGTTAGGGCTCTCAGTTCCTACACTTGCCTGGCAGAAGTAATAGCCACCAGGAAAGACACCTTCCAGGAGAGGTGCAGGAGAGAGCATGTTGTGGTAAAGGGCTGCTGGTTTGTGTGTGTGGACAGTAAGGAGCAGATTTACTGGAACAAAATGCATGTGCAGTTGCGTAGTAGGACTTTTTCCTGTTGTCTGGCCAAAACGTCCTTTTTTCCTATAGATTTCTACATGTTAGTGGTGCTGTATGTACATGCTTGTATAGCACTTTGAATGAAAAACACTTCAGGATAGTAATTTTCTACACTTACTATTCCCATCTAATTGTAATGTTTTGGATTTATTGATTAGGACGATGTGTATAGCAGATAAAGATTTGTGGATTGGACCTCAGAATTTGACAGCAACTGTCAACATTTAGATGAAGAAACATTTGTAAGTAAAAATTCTCCCAATTTTTCTTTCTTATATATATGGCAAGGCTATTCAATTAGAATACCATATGACCAAGGATATTTGAGTATGCTGTAAGATCTGAATATCTTTCAGTCAGAATTTATTCAACTGTGCAAAAGCAGAAAAAAGGGAGAAATGAATTTCTAGATAACCACCCACGTAGGATGACAAACAGTGAGCTGGCAAATTACCAAAGTGTAAAAGCATCAGTGAAGGAAGAAATGAACTGGAACATTGAGGAAATATAGATAATATACATTCCACACAATTTATCAACTTTACAGTGAATTTAGACTATGACTATTTAATCTCATCCCTTCCTGTGTATGAATATTCCTCATTTTTTAAATTGTTGAATTGTGCTTGCATACCACAGTGATGAGAATCACGGCAAGACCTATTAATCAATACTGAACTCAAAGTAAATTTGGAGCATTCTCCGTTATATAGACCCATGGTGTCCAACCAGCAAACTAGCCACACTCAACCAGCCAAATAGCCACTTGTGGTGAGTGGCTAGCGTGCTGGACACCATGGAGATAGACAAACAATAGTATAGATAACAGCACATATGGCAATGTAAATATATACAACTTGTCATAACATTTTAGCCTTTTATCATGGGAATAATTATATATATGCTTAAAATAATTAAAAATTATTTAATTCACAATCTTAATATTTTTTAAAAAAAATTCTGAGATCACTTCTCTTTCTTAGTTTAAATGGATCATCACTGGACATTGATTTCTCAAGTGTGACATAAGGAAAGAGATTTATTTTTACCCCCAACTCTGTACTGTAATCTTCTCTGGAAGTCCTCAGAGTATTTTTAATTAGCTGAACATGTGTCATGATTCTGAGTTCACTGATTCACTGTGTGAGCCACTGATTCACTGTGTGATTTTAGACAAGTTACTTAATAATTTTGTGCCTCAGTTAAGTCATCTGTATAATGGATATAAAAATTTTGCTGTTTTGATACCCATTCAAAAAGGGGTGTTATGAATCTTAATTCATGTTTGTAAAGTGCTTTAAATTCCTTGGATGAAAGGTGCTATTATTATTGCTACTGGTAGCTTCTGGAAACGGTCCTATTCTTTCTTAGTCAGTAGCATACAAACAGATAAAAATAGATGAAATAATATGTTCTATAATTAAACTTATTAAGGGCTGTGATTGGCTTCATTAGAAAAGCTAAGGTGAGAGCCAAACATTTAAAAATATGAATTATGGATATATGATACAAACTTATAAGAGCTCAAATCCTTATATCCTCCAGGTTTCTAAATTCTTGCTCTCTGGACAACAGAGACAGTTAAAGACATACTTGAACAGTTGCAAAATTCCTTTTAAAGCAAAGTTAGTCATTATTTGGATGTAATTGTTTTACATTTGCATTGCCTTTATGTATGGCATAAAATTATTTAAGTGCATTGGAATTACTATAACTGTGGTGAACAATAGAAGACAGTTAAATACATTAATAACATTGCCTTACAGGCATGTTCAGTGTCAACATTATTTTATTTTGTGTCTGATACAGTACTTCACACCAGTCTTGAACAGCAAAATTGCCCCAACAGGACGGCAGTCATAGCTGAATATTTTCTACTTATCCAACACAGTTCAGAGAAATTGCCTACATTATTTTTTCATAATTTCCTCCAAATACTAAATGTAGTATTTGGCGTACCGCACACTAAGGACTTTGTTATGCCTTAATTAGGCACAGCTGCAGTGAGAGGGAAGGGACATCACACAAACATCAATTCCTAGCAGTAGCCTCAGAGAAATACATCGGTACAGAATGTTTCTGGTGATGTTAGGGGGAGTATGTACAGAGTCAGTTTTTCCTCCTCACAGAAGTCAGTTGAAGTGTCAGGTTGGGTGGAAGTTCATCAGCAGAGCCAGCCTGTCTATAGAATGAATCAGGATGCCTGCTCAAGGCCCTGCTCTTTTGGAGGGCCCAAGGTGGCCACCCCAACTGTCCTGTGGACAGGAGGGATCAGGGTATTATGAGGGCCTGGTGCAGGGCAACAGGAGGGGGTTGTCCTTGCCCTGCACTCACCATGTGGGCTGCAGGAGCCAAAGTGGCCTGGCAGCTTGCTGCACCCTGCCTCACCGTCTTTCCAGCCTGCTGCACTCGGCTTCTCAGGATGTCTGCTTCCCACTGCTGTTGAGAAGTAGGTGTAGCAGGCTGGGAGAGGGTGGCACAGCGGGGCGAAGCAGACTGCTGGGCTGCTCTGGCTCTTGCCACATGTGTGGTGAGTGAGGGTGGGTGACTCCTGCTGCTGCCATGCTAGGTCCTCCTCCCCCATAATTCTCTGGGCCATGTTACTCATGGGAAGGGACAAGGAGGCAGAGCAGGGGTAGGACTTGGGAAAGGAGTGGAGTGGAAGTGGGGCCTGTGGCAGTTTGGGGTTGCCCTGGGCAGGGTTGCCAGGTGTCCGGTATTGACCCAGACAATCCGGTATTTTCGCCTCCTGTCCGGTAAAAAAATCCAGAAAATACCAGACACCTAAAATGTCTTATTTCAAATTTGGTAAACCTCATTCTATGAGGAATAACACCAAATTCAAAATAGCTAATTCGAAATAAGTGCTGTGTACACGCTCATTTCGAATTAGGGGTCCTCCAGCCTTTTCCAGGGGCCCTGGTGGCCACTCTGGGCACAACCAGGAAAACTCGTCTGCTCCCCCCCAACCCCCGAGCCATTAAAGGGGCAGACTCTGGCCACAGTGCCTGTGCCAGTTGCCAGCCTGCCAGCACACAGCC